TTTTGATTTATAAACCTTACGCATCCGGCAAAACTGAATTTGTGGACAGTCTAAGCAAGATTTATCACCATGCTGTTGTCAGCGATAACATCGCGGATGATATTGAGCCTGACAAAGTTCTCCGCTAGTAGGGTTCCCGCCGAAACGTTTTGATTTGAGACCGAATCTTTACTCTGTGACTTTATAAGAGTTGCTTAAGCTGCGAGGCACCAGAAAAAAAACTCCGCCGCTGACCGTTCAAAGACTGGTAATCATATAAAGCACAAGAAGCGCCAGTTGGAGGACGTTTCTCAGATCACTTTTACGATGATTGTGCGGTGCTAGAGCAAGCAGCACCTAACTCCCGCACCTCAGATTGCTATAAAAAATGCTGTTCAAGTCTTTACAAGCCTCACCAAATTCTATATAGAATAACTGGTTGGTCTTCGTGTTATTCGATACCAGCACGAAGTTGACCTATAATCTTGGAGTTGAAATGCCTGCTTGATTAAACTTGCCGATAATTTATCTTGCTACACTCCAAAGTAGCATCACGTCTTTTTGTCCCAATGACGTTGAGCGTCGACCGCCGAGTGCGCAGAGCATTGGCTGCAAATCAAAATGTTCAGAAGCACCAGGTAAATATCGGAGCCAGACGGAACTCACACGCTTATATAAAATGTGAAATAAAATCTCAAATACGTTCGACGTATGAATGTAGTGCCTGCAGTCTGAACGACAAAAGTCAGGCCCCACTCAATTGACCTGTTCACGGCCATAATCTAGCATGCCATTGGTGATCTTGCAGAAGTCAATTATTGGTTTGCTATCATGGGCGATTCATATACGACGCGCTTAGTTGAAAAGAAAACAGCACCTTCACGATGAATTATAGCTGATCCACCGCATACTTAGAAAGGTTATACAGTTCCAAACACTTGGAGTGCATCAAACTGCCCTCTTTTATGGCGTAGCACACATAACGCATCTGATACGTGAATCATTTGGTAGTGGCACGCACCGATGATCCTGTGGGACCCACGTGCTGCCGTAATTGATAGGGCTCATGAGACGCGAAACGAATACCGCCGGTACTGCTGAATGCGTCACTGGTGTGTCGCTTTTGTGCGAAACAGAGTTGCTGACAAAATAATTAGCATTTTTTTAAATCGAATATACCATCACCAAACAAAGTGTTAATGTATGATAAAGGTCATCTTTGACAAGGCTTCCCTAACACGGTTATCCATGACACTCTGGTGCACCCTCGAACTTTATCGGTACCGGGTCACTTGACGAAAAGCGTTCTTGAGATAGTCAAGTTTGAAATTGCTTTGAAAAATGACCAGAAGTTATAACAGCTGCTTTATGGAAGTGAGCAGTTTACATCAAGAAGTTGATGTGGTGACTTTCTTCATCGACGTGTAAGTCGTGCTTAAATTGCAAAGTAACGCATCTGACAGCACTATAGTCCGGTATCCGCCTCACCTCAGATGGCTTATAAAGATGGAAGATGAATAATAATGGCGTATTTTATACCCTGTCTGCGAAATTGTTGCATGATCTCTCGAATATTCAGAATCAGAACACATTTCGCATACGGATTCACTTAACCGCTTCTACTCCAGCTGATGGTCGTAATTCTGAGGTACTGTACAGAAGAGAGATACTGCTCGAGCATCCGTTTAGCAATTCTTTTTGCAATAGGCCAACAGTAACGAACTCGTCAAGAGCCCTTTGCGGTGCAAGATGCATTTCTCGGTAGATCGAACCCGAATCACGACTTGACTGACTATACTGTTTTAATTTTTGCTGTTGCGGACGGGTAAGCTCAGCTCGGTAAAGATTATTGGCAGAAAGAAAAGCGCCATCGTGGCTTTCGCGGCAACATTTTAATCTTCTTTATTTTGAAGAGCGATTACGCAGTGCGCACCTTGTGTATTGGGGGGTAAGGAGCAAAGAGTCTCGATCCAGCAAGCGGTGTTGCCGAAAGCCTCTTGGTAGAAGGGCGATGACAGACCTAGCTGGGGCGATATATCGTGTCATACTAATGGAGCTAGGATCAATTTAAAATACCATGCTGTTGGTCTAACCAAACTGGAGACGCTATGTGAAGATAGATGATGCAGTCGCTCTTGGGTGAAGGCATTACACCGTCTTGACAATAACAGCTCTTATTTCTCAGACATGGTCCTATATTCTTACCGCCCATGACAAAGTATGTTTAACTATATTCTTGAGAGCCACCACAACAATTGTCGTTTCTAGGCTTTCCATATCAATAACATTTTTTCGGGGGAACAGTCCTAAGTGCCTGTGCATGCAAGTGACGTCTAGCTTGAAGATTACTTGCACAACCTATTGCTGCTGCAGCGGGGCTGCCGCTCTTTCGCTTAGAGAATACTTAATTATGGTCGGCGACCTTCGTTCTATACTTAGTACCAGTACGAGTGTAGCTGATCGCAATCGCGATCCGACATTTTCCCGCACGAATAAAGATAAGGTCAATCCGTTCGACGTATTTGGTGACTTACTCGAGGTTATAGTATCGCTTACCGCCAACAATTCGTGCTTCAACCGGCTTTTGTGCCTCAAAAGTTCTACCTTGCCGTGGATACGTTACCCACTGTACTCTTGGAGGAGTATGAGTGAATACGGATGGTCTCGATACAAGCAACACTTGCTCGGATACCTCATTTATTGATTAAATTTTTGTCGCCATCGAGACAATGACAGTCTTTATATCGTGGACATAGTCTGCTGATGTTTGTGGACAAAGAAGAATTGTGAGTGCACACAGTAATCTACCATATGCGGTACGAAAGTCCGTGACATATGTCGCTTCAACGTTGCCTACGACTGACACCACACATTTTTTAATCTATCAAATTCATATATGCAACGGCCAATGTATTGTAAGTGTAGATTTTGAAAAAGACGACACAATTTTCTAAGACTACAGTTTGAATGTTAAATGCATGCGGGAGGACAAGCGATAGGGACAATGCAACAAATGTGACTCTAGCGACAAAGCACATAGATGAAAGGTGTGAGTAAATTTTCTTTGGGGTCCGACAAATTTTTCTGAAAACACTCTGTATTGACTATGATGTTGTATTTGGTGAGTACTGAACTGTCGTGTACTTAAGCCATGTACATTTGGTCAAAAATGCAACATTGTACAATTGTCAATCATGATTGTAAAAATTTAAACGAGCCACAGGAATCGTCCTTCTAAATATACGGGACGTTAAAAAAAGAGAGAACTGAGGTTCATATGGGTTGTTAGCCTCGTTCTGGTATAAAAAACAGTTAATCGTTAAGGTTAGTTAGAAAGTTTAGATCCAGTAACAGGTTATATGAGTAGAATCTGAAGTATGTATCACTCATTAATTAGATGAACAAACTAAATACTTAGTAACTAAAGCGGCTCGTCGTCTTGATGCTAGGTGTGGCGTGTGAACACATCCTTCGGGAGTTTGTTTATGCAAATCTATTATTTTTTTCCAGCGGTGTGCAAGGAGCCCAGTTGCACTATTTAGCATTCCTAGTCGACCACACAACATAGCCACCAAAGGGCGACACTCTATGCAAAGATGGTACACGAGCTGTCTGGATACCTGTCGGACCATATACATAACAGAGCACAGACAGCGCTCACTGTAAGACCGCTCATATCGTTTTTCCAGTCCTCAACAATCGGCACGTAGAAACTCTCTGCTTCTTGCAACGAAGAGTAAGATGACCATGATTGTGGCCGCGCTGTTGGTTAAGCAGCAGTGCGTCGCGCTTGCGGTTCACAAGTTTGGATAACAAACTTTACTTAGGATGTCGATATCTGAAAACTTCGTAGATGTTACCTCTTCAAGCACAACGATGATTCTTCATAGCCCGTTCACGATTCCTCCCTTGGCTGAGGTCTTCGGATCAGTTTCGTTTATAGCACTATCATCACCGCTTTAAATTGGCTCTAGTGACTCGGTAGTCGTTGTTTGCATTCAGTACAGCTTCAATTGCATTTACAAAACAGGTAGGATAGAGGTGATATATCCCAATAGAGCTGAACCCGTTCAAGATTCTTTATTGATTTGGTAATTGTAATCGACTTAAGTTTGAGTTTGTCACCAACGAGGCAATGAGTTTCAAAACCTTCGAGTTTATTATGTTCATTCCAATTCTAAGCGATGGGCATACTAAAGTTTTTAGCCCAAAGGAAACGCCAAGTTAGACTGTGGAAATGCCCGCGGCGTTTGTTCCTTCAGTCCCTCCTTGTCAGAAATACCTTTTTAATACAAGTGTAGCAATTCTGAGCTCGTTCTGACGGGCCTTCGACAGCTGGAAGACTGCAAGTCGGACGTGCAGTCGCTCCCTTTCCAAATTAGACGTATTCTTAGCTACCTTAACATCTCTTTTCATAGTTGAACTCCCCACAAAAGTGTATGTACACCCTAATTGGTACGAACCTCATTATTGTACAAAAAAAAATCATATTTCAATAAACTTGTTAGTACGAGCTCTTAAGTCCGCGCTTTATATGTGTGAGGTGCATGGCAACCCATTGGAAGCTTTTCTTTGCGGGCAACATCAACACTAAATATTATACAATTTCATCCGACTTGTGATCCAGCAAATCTTATGGACACGAGAACAATTTCAAGCTTTCGAGAACATACAGCTTTCGTAGTCAACTTTTGAGGTACAAATTATATTTGTAAAAGTGTCATCTATCTAGACAAGGTTAAAATCTTAGTTAATGGATTCCTAACGTATAAACGTGTCTTATTCCTAAAAATGCTAATACGTGACTAAAGCAAAATTTTCAACAAAAGATGATTATACCAGTACAAAATTCACGTATATTGCTCACTTGCTATCCCTTACCAAATTATGGTACTGTACTACTAACTGTACTTACTGTACTTAAAAAAGGTTTGTAAATAATGTTTTTTTGCCAATCAGTATCCGCGCTTCCTCTTCCGACGCCGACTTCCGCCCGCGTCACTTTCAGCCGAGACGTCACAATGGAAGCGCTTCGAAAGAAAATGCCAAGCAAGCGTGCGCTTACGTCCACAATCAATCAAATTGTCCAGCAGAAAGCTGTGGCTGTTCTGTATACGCCCACGGAGGTAGAGCGTATCAAGCAGATGACTGATATGATTGCGCAGGCTACAAACGAGTTTGAGCCAGACGAGGACTGGAACAGCATTTTACGCGTCGTTGATGCGCTTAGCAATGTGAGCAACCGCGCCGTGTACGTATTAAAACAATCAGTTTAGTTGCATTTAAGCTGAGTGCGGCGTATTTTTTGGGAGGGTTATAGACTGAAAGAGTCAATCCGATACTTAAGATTGCGGCTGGGAGATCCTTCATCCCGCGTGGTGATCTTGGCCTTAACGCTCACTGAGTCAATTGTTAAAAATTGCGGAGATCTCGTACACCAGGAAATTGCCACGGAGCAATTTATGAGCGAGATGGAGGAGCTTCACCGGGTGCGAGCTAGAAAATCATTGCATGTATGTGTGGAATCTTAAAGCTGCTATTTGTTTGCTTATACAGACACATTCGAACAAGCGTGGTCGACAAAGCATGGAAATTGCTTCTCGCGTGCTGGACATGGTGCAGGCGTGGGGTGAAGCTTTCTTACCATTCCGGGTGGGTTTGTTTCAAATCGTGTGTTTTTCTATCGATCTGACTTGAAAGAGTAGCACGATTTCCCGCTCTTTGTAGACACATACCATAACATGCGTAAAAAAGGAATCAAGTTTCCGGATCAGTACGACGAGTCAAAAGTACCGGTGCTCACTCCATCCCTTGAGGGGACTCAAAGTCAAGTGGCTGGTAGTCAGATATCGTCGCTGAATTATTCCCGTGGCTCGAGCAGGATCGGCACGTCGTCTTACTCTCATTCTAGTAGTGGACTTGGCGGACTCTCGACTCCTGAGCTGTATCGTGTTGCAACAAATGTTTTGGAAATGTTTGACGACATGCTGTTTGAAGCGCAAAAGGATTCATCTTCAATCACTAACCACGGGGTGATGGCGGAATTAGCTGTGGAAGTGAGAGAGATCGTGCATCGACTCAAAGGCGCAATTACAATCGCTGTTGCTGAGGAGGATACGGTGAGCATGTGTTTAGTTATGTGCTGCATCATATTACTTCACATGTCTTATTTAATGTATATATTTTAGCATCTTGCACAGTATTTGTCTATCAACGACGACCTACATGCTGCGCTTGAAAAATATGATGCACTGCTAAAAGAAAATCAGGAGTCTGAAGAGGTGCAGGTTGTGGAGACGAAAAAGATTCGTGATACTGACACTGATTTGATCGATCCTTTTGGACTGAAAGACGACGTGTATCTAAATGACAATACCGACAACCAGAAGGCTATTGAAGATGACCCATTTGCTGATTTTGTGCATGCTCGTTCCGGATCTAAAAAAGCAACAACTGCCATTTCACCAGACAAAGCAAAGTCTGAAAGAAAGGATGAGGAGGATTTGCTGGCGTTTTTTGTTCAGCAAAGGTCAACCAAGGTTTCTAAAAGCTGCAGCAACCAAGATGCCGAGAAGGCGAAGCTTAGTGTCACATCTTCGAATGACTTGATTAACTTGTGGGACGGTGAGAGGCTTATTCTGTTTGATACGTATAGTTGCTGACAAGTTTGAAAAGCAGACGTCCCTCCAACAACTTTAGTGTCTGCTCCAATCGACTCATCATCAAAGCCTGATGTTTGGTTCGGGGATGACTTTTTTGGCAATTCTATACAGCAGTCGATGCAATTGCCTACTACCCAACGAGAGTCGTCTGCCCAAGGCCAGTGGTGTGGTAAGATTACACATGAGTTTCAAGAAAATAACATGCCTTAACAAATTTATTTTTTTAGGCAACAACCATTCTTCGGCATTATCCGTTGCAACGGGACCGCTAAATACAGCTAAAAGCGCTTCTGGATCAACAATCGGTGACCCATCCCACAATCTCTTGACTAAGGTATTTGCTTTCAATTTTTGCTCACATATATTTACTAACTCGTGTGTGATGTTGCTGTATAGACATCTCTGTCGACACCAGCAGAAAATCCTTTCGACAATATCCCATATACCTCTTCAGCACAGCTGACACACACGAGAGGGAATACATCTTGCAATCCTTTTGACATTTAGACTTCAATTTGCTTGCATCTAAATCACTTTGAAGCATTCCTACACAACCAGCGATGAAAGATAGTGATTGCTAGCTTCAACTTACGATAAATCCAAAGTTTTATATAATTGTGCGCTACTCAACATTAAACTGCTCACTGCAATATTGAAATTTGTTCTCTGCAGTATTGAAACTTGTGGATTTATGAATTTACTTTAAAACTTCATTGCCAAGAGGTAATCAATAAGAAAAAGATGTAAACTATGAACGTAATCGATCCGATCGGTTAAGGCGATTTGCCAGCTCCACTTCACTTCACGCTCTTCGACGCATCTTGTTGGGCCAGCTTAAACCCTGGCATGTCACGCTTTCCTCGCGTCTCCTCCAACTTTGCAGGATGGTCGTCCATCTCTTTACGCGATGTTCCGGCAGCAGTTTTTGCAGCTTCTGATTCCTTTGCACGCGTTTGCTTAGCAGCTTCAAGAGCCTTCTCCATGATCGTCTCCTCTTGCGTTAAGCTTGGCTCCTTTGGTTTCGTTGCTTTGGCTTCAGCTCGTGCCCCAATATTTTTAACACTGTGAAAAGCTCCAGAAACCCGGTCCTTCACACTTTCTTTAACCTTGGCGGCCTTGTCCACGGCCTGCCCAACTACTCCCGGAGATTCCGCTTTTGTCTCACTGACCATCCCTTTAGTCTTCTCTTTCCCTTCACCAGCCTTCCCCGCAACATGATGAGACTTGTCTTTAGCTGTTTTCGTCGTCTGATCCACCTTCTCATTAGCCGATTCAGTTACTTGTCCAGCCTTGTTCTTAGTCGACTCAGTGACTTGACCAGCCTTGTCCTTAGTCGACTCAGCGACTTGACCAGCCTTGTCCTTAGTCGACTCAGCGACTTGACTAGCCTTATCCTTAGTCGATTCAGTAACTTGTCCAGCCTTGTCCTTGGTCGATTCAGCTCCTTGTCCAGCCTTATTCTTAGTCATTCCAGTGACTTGCCCGGCCTTGTCCTTCGCCTGATCAACTTTACCTTTTGCCGTCTCGGTCAGCTTACCCCCTTGATCTTTCGCCGTTTCGTTCATCTCGCCAACTTTTTGTTTGGCTTGTCCGGCTGTGTCTTTGGCCGCATCCTTTGCCTGACCCACCTTATTCATAGTCATTTCTGTCATCTCACCAGCCTTGTCTTTCGCTTGACCAGCTTTATCACTTGCCGCTTCCTCCGCCTGCCCCGACTTCTCTTTGGCCATACCAGTCAATTCACCAGCCATGACTGAGATATTTCCAGCTTTGTCTTTTACCGTATCGGCACCTTGACTTCCTTTCTCTTTGGTCGATTCGATCACATCGTTAGCTTTATCCTTCGCTACATCTTTCGCCTGACCAGCATAACTTGATGTCGAATCCTTCATCTCATTCGCCTTTTGTTCAGTCTCTTCTCTAGTCACTTCGAATCTTCTTTTTCCCTTCTCATATGCTTCAGTGAATGTCTGTTGCACGTCATTCCGTTTAGCCATAGCAGCTTCAGAAACGGCAATTCCCTTTCCTTCAATACCTTTAACTGTCTCGGAATCTTGCGCAGCCATCTTTGCATTTTGCAGCGTATCCGAAAGATAACTAGCACCTTCAGACGCAATGACCACAGTTTCTGCAGCCATTTTGCTACCAAGGCCACCAGTGATCATTGAATCAAATTTAGCTGCCGTCGCCGTCACACCCAAACGTTCATCCAACTCGCGAACCTTTCCAACGACTCCAGCAGCAGCATTGCTTACTGGTAATTTCTCATTGCCAAGTTCAGCTGCACGCACAGCCTCACCTACACCCACTTGGGCTCCGTGAGCAACCTTTTCAGACATGTTTCCAATCGTGTCGCGCAATTTCACTAACTGATCGTAAGTCACTTCCATGGCGTCAGTGGCGCGTTGACGTCCGGCATTTACATATTTGTGCAGCGTATCCATGGCTTCTTGACCATGCGAACCCGCAAACTTGTCGTCATACATAACGGCTTGATTCTGAAGGTCATTCAGCGAATCACGAACGGCATGGATGCCGTCCAATGCCACAGGAACTGATCGTTCCGACAAGGTCTGACTTTGAGTCTTCAACTTCTGCGTAGCTGAACGCGAGGCATCAAGCGCTGGCTTTAGATATTGACTTGCAGGCTCAAGCGTTGCATGCTCCTTTTCAAAAGCTTCTACTCGCTTCGTCAACTAATTAGTACCACAACGATCTAGTAAGATTCTTATCAACTTGTTCAATATCATTCATGATCAACGCACCTCTCTCAAATACGAGTCGGCCTTTTCTGTCGTTTCATCAATCTGCTCCTTAGCACGGTCAATGTCTTGCTTGTGAGCGTTTATCTTGCACTGCAAATCGGCCATTCGGTTGTCGCTTATGAAATTCTTGGTACCACTCTGTTCTTCAAGAGGAAAATCACAAAATGATCAAAGCCTACATTAATCTGATGCGCCGTTGGATTCCACGGATTGAACGCGATTTTGATCTTGGATCTTGAACCTCGTCCCAATGAGTGGTGGGTGACACTTTCGATGAGTATAGCGGAAATGACAACGGTCTAATTCATCGACCTTCTCTCAGCCATCTTTGCGAAAGGGTGCGGTGCCACGACTGACAAAGTTGAGGTTATCACGTCAACTTTTTATGCATGATTTTCAAACGGGTGCTAACCGTTTGTATCGTCGGGTGTGGATTTAAACAATAACCACTTGTTACATACAAGGATAAGCCGCACAATTCGAGTTTTGTCGTGCGATCAGCGGGTTTGTAGATCTTTCAAGTGATGTTTGCGCATTTCGCCTTAAAAAAGCAAGCTGTCCAAGGAATGTAAGACATGGCCATAGATTCCAAGCAGACTTGAACACGCACGCCACATGATGCTGTTAATCTTGTATGGAGGGTTCTAGATAATCGAATAACGCGTAATTTGAAAATCAAGTATTTTATTCCGTTTTATCGAGTTGAAAACCAGGCAAAATGCTCGACTCATAAATGTTTACTTTTTCGTACACGTTGGTCATGTGATGTTGACTAAACTTTCTATCCGCAAGATTTACATGGACTCGCAAGCTTAGCGCACTTTACTACTTGTCTAGTATAAGCTCACGAAAGCTCAAATTTCACTTATTTCGCTGATAGCAGTGTCCGCAAGTACTTAAGGACAGTTATAACACGAGTGCACTGAGCTGCTCAGGCTTTGCTATAATTTGCTCTCTGTCGTCTAAAGTCATGTTCAACTCGCTTTTGCTGGCTTTAGTCGCGTAGCGTTTGAAAACGCACTCTTTATGTATATACTGCCTTCGGATCGTCCTATCCCACAATCACAGTTTACGATATGGTGTAACAGGAAGCTTCAATGCACCTAACCGGGGGCCTGTTAAATGGTGGTCTTGTGTAAGAAGAGGCGAGTTACCATATCAAACAATGTCAATGGATAAAGTATGCTTCATTTTCTAGATACATCATAAGTAAGTGCCAAATTTTACAGATTTGTTCTGTGTTAAAAAGACTTACCTATGATTACATTGGCCTGCAGAACTTAGGTGTTCCAGAAGTGTGAGGCTGGTACTTATCAAATTTATGACTCTGCGTTTGCAATGTTGACGCTTTTAAAGTAAGCTCCACTAAGTAAACGCACAAGCGATTATACCACAGGAAAATCACGCCATACACGAGCAACTCTATGCAGATTGCATCCAAATCACAGGATTCGCGGGGCTTACCGATTTTTTATCACCAGATATGCGTGATTCGAAGCTGCATATAAATTGTGCACTCGAACGACATACAGGAAAAACGAATCCGTAGACTAAGAGCTTGATCGAATCGCGTTAACGACCTGCTGGTTGTAGTATTCCGCGGCTTGATGAAGACGGGCATACATCTAAAGTAAAGCAATATTACAAATAAATCCAAAAGATATTCAGTGCAAAGAACCATAAGGCTTTCACCTGCTCTAATTCCTTCAGCTCCTTTTGATATTCAGCTTCCTCCTCCATCATCTTGAATTCTAACTTGCGAGTGGCTTCAGTGTTCTGCGCAATACGCTGACGAACCTCATTGTGCACTTCTTGCAGCTTTGATAACTCATTGCGAGCACTATCAAGTACTTTTGATGCGATAGCATCCTTCGCACGTGCATCTTCAATGTGTCGTGACAGTTCCCGCGTTTTGAGCTCCAGTAATTTTTCCAAACGCTGACGACGCGTAATTGTCTCGGCTGTGCAGAATTGCAGCTCACTAATGCGCTTTGATGTGTCCTTTACCTGGTGTTTTACCTCTTTGCATGCCTGCATTTCCTTATCGATCTCGAGCAGTAGGGTGAAAGTCCTCGCAAGCTCCTTCTCAGCTCGTTCATAAATTTCAATAAATTCCAGCACCGCTGCGTGTTTCTCTTCCAGCTCATGTAGATCGTCTCTGGCTTTTTCAAGCGTCGCGCCAATCGAATTGAGTTCTCCTTTAACCCTGTCAGGCGACGTAATAATCAGTGCTTTAAGTTTCTCAATTGTCTCTTCGGCTTCGACTTTGTTGAACCGAACTGATGACACGTCGTCCTCCATCTTAGCACGCTTGGCTTTCAGCTCATCTGTCTCTACACGCATCACTGCTTGTTGCTTATTCAACACATTGATCTCTTTCTCCAATTCGTTCACCTCTTCCTGAAGCTGTAGTCGAGCAGGTTCTTCGGCTTTCTGCTCTTCAATGAGCTGGTCAAGCTCTCGCTGGAGTGCTGCGTTTTCCTCCTGCAATGCCTTTTTCTGAGCTAGTAGCTCATCCGTCTGACTCGTTGTAGCACTAAATGCGACAAGTCGTTCATCACGAAACTTGCCAAAATTAATAAGCGCACTGAGCTGGCGTCTTACGCGTTTGGGCGTCGGGTGGAGCACATCACGCAGCCCAAAATCGTCGACACCACTGGCTGCTAGGAGTCGCTGCGCTGTACGATAGAATGTAAGTTCTGGAACGGATTCAGAATGTAGTTCAGGAAAAGTAAGGATGGGTAATCCTGGGAACGCAATTTGTGCCATGTCTTCGCGTGTCACGCCCATGATGCTTTCAATAAAGGCCTCAAGCACCTTACGTACAGCACCTATGTCACACGCTCGAATATCGTCTTCAGACACAGGCACACGCATATCGCGCAGACATGCAAAGATCTCACGGGGCTTAAGCAAAGGGAAAGAGTAAACGCCCGTAGTCGAGGCAGAGACACCGGCGCTCATTCTTATGGTGACCGCCTTGAAATGATGGTAGAAATGGGGGTAAAATACATTTTTTTGTATGCATACGTTCGAAACTCAAGAGATACTAAAAACACATACTGGGGTAATATTGCATTGTTGTGTATACTACCAAAGAGGCAATCTTCTAAAGATTTCTTAGGAGCTTAAGCTCTCTATTTCTTCTCTCGACACACCAACAAAATTTTTCAAGGGACCCAGACACCATAATATCAACTCGTCGGGAACATTGGGTACACTATTTTTATCCACTTTAAGGGATCTAAGGTAGTATAACTACAGTCCATTTGAAGCACGGCAACCGGAAGCTAACCTCTTCACAAGCTTCAGCATTAGACGCACCGCTTACAGCTACTGAATGTAGTTAAGCACACAGCGCATGAGAAGAGCCTGGGCATTAATTAGTACGATGAAGGCTGGCAAGATAGTTTTGACAAAATGGCTTATCAGCTAAAAATTACCAGCTTTTTCTTTCTGATTGGGCGTGAGCCTTGGAACGGATGTCTTCCCAATTCATGCTTGGTCGTATGACGCAGTTCCTACGTCGCGCTATCTCGCTGATTTATAAAAGGTAGCCGTTCAGATCCAAAGAATTATCGCCCCCTCATACTACTAAAGAACGATAAACCAAAAGCTCTGGCTTACGGACTCAATCAATTTTTATCTAATTTTCTTGGCGATGGCCAAATTATGTTTGTACCCGGTCGTAAAAGTTGCTGCACTTTATGATTTTTTTCACCACACCTTTGTGAACAATCGTCTTTGTCTTTGGTTAATGGCGGAGCTAACATAGCTCTTTATTCGCAAGACTGTGAAGACTTATCGGGTGCTTGCTTTAGCACGAATTTTCTTAACAATTAAGCGGATACAAGAACTTGGCTAATTTTGCAGTAATCACTTTTGTGATACAACTTTTGTCTTCACGCTGTTTTGCAGATTTACTTTTATTTCGGGGGTAGTCGCTATCGCGGGGTATCAATTTTGATGACGAATTGACCACTCATGTCAACCTATACGCCTTCAAATCATAGTATGTCTGCATCGACCCACCAAAAAACCCTCGATTCTGGCAAATCTCATTGTCGTCATAACCAACGAGTTCGTTCAATACCAGAAGATAGCGTCATTTTGTTGAAGAAAAAAATCCTCTTCGCATAGAACTACAGTCAATGTAAACGGCTTTCCGCACAAATGTTCGCGATGCTTGCCTCAATGCTGCCAGAACAACACCAATACGTTTGCCCGACAGGTCTGTACAATCCCGTGCAGCACACGGTTGTCAAAAGTAGTACAAAGTATGAGGTGGCACTGAAGACGCCAGATACAGATACAGTATCTTTGCGTTCAGCGACGAAGGCGCCAGTAAAAGTGTCGAGGTTTCTGCTGTATTTGAGATAAGTTCTCAGCTTAGACATGGCTGAACAAAATTTGTGAGTCAAAACGGTTTGGCGTAATGCATTGCTATTCTTGATAGAGGTAAGATCGTGACTTGAGTAAAATATTAAATTGTTCAGATTTGCTAGAAATGATCCATGGAACAAATAGCATAGAGCAGAATCTGTAGTGATTTCCGACCACGGGATCAGATTGAGAAAGCGATCGAAAATCGTTATATCCGATTTTTTTCGTGTTGAAAGACGGAAAAGCACAAGTGGATGCCGTGGTCTCCAATATAAATTTCTGGTTTGATGATGTAGAATCGCCCAATGCCGGAGTTTTTATACCAGGGCCGGTGACGAGTAAAAGTGCTCCGATATCACATATTTCCGTGAAAACAACCGGTGGCTCAAAGGTGGCTGCGATTCGCGAGAAGAACGACCAGGACCGGAGGTCAGGAAGAATAGTTCTTCCTCACCACGATGTGATCGTAGCGTCTAGTCACCACTACCGTGTAGAGCACAAAGCCCCACGGGTGTAATGGAGTGACCAGGGTAGTCAATGTTAGGAGTGTGTAAAGAGCCATTGGTCAGAGGAGTTGATCAGCTATCCCTAGGATCCCATAAAACATCAAAAAGCAAATACGAAAACATGACTTTCATTACGCGTCTTACCCCCAGATCAGGATAAAATTGTTTAGATCTAACTAGGTTATGAACTCAGCTGTACCACAAAACGCTGACCTTCACAAATAGAGAGAATGTCGTCGTCTACTTGTGCTGTCGTGCAAAGCATAAGGCAAAATAGGTAGGAGAGGATGAATTTGCCTGCCTTACATCTGTTTAATTACGAAAAGGCTGATAGAAAGTGGAGAGGTGTGCATACAAATCCTTTGTTTCAGGATCATCTCCATCATTTTGCAAAAGAAGGTGTTATCAAACCGCATGATTAGTCACGCCAGTGTTGAGTGTACTCAGGGCTACTCAGCAGTGAACATAAATGGTCAAATAAGCTTTTAGATGCCTTCTATACCGTAGGAAAGTGGCTCCGGTTTTCGTGAGGAAGTGTTTTTTTTACCAAAGTTGACATGCTGATATCAGCCCGGCTATACTTCGTAACAAATTAATGACTCTATCACAATGAGATTAAAGGTCATGCGCAAGGTGTAAAGCGCAATGGCTGAGTAGTGAGATCAATTGCATGCGAAACACACAGAATATATTGCGAAGAAAAAAAATATTACGTGCAATCAACCAGCACATTTACAGCGGGGCTGCCGTTGCTCTTTGATTAGAGGAAGCTAGGCTAAGGTCACCGACCTTACGACCTTTTCAAGGAAAGAACGAGGGGAGCGGATTGCGATCCGCTACCTCCAAGTACTTAAAATCTGAATTTAGCCAAACAAACACTTTCGTTCAAAGCTGTATTAGGCTTTGATTGTTTTAGTTGCGGCAGAGCCGCCAGGATTTTGAGTCCTAGGTTTTCCTAGTTAGTTTAGTAGTACTTAATTACTATAGCAAAATTTAATTTTAATTTAGTAATGTGCATTACTACAGTCAATCCTGCCACCTTGATACGGTGTAGCCACACCACTGTGTGGTTACACCAAATTGTGTAATACAAACTCATGTACGGTCACACTATCTTGTGCGACCCGCCCTTTCATACAAGGGTACGTGTAACCCCGTTACACTCCCCCCATCGAAATTGTGTATATCCTCAGTTCACATTTAACGGTCGCCTCATACGAGGCTTGCGTATCCGAATTACCTAAACGTTTTTTGAAAACAAATTTTAACTTTCCCCATGTCTACGACTCGCAAAACACCCAGCCTAGCTGGTAGCGAGGGCGCCCGCGGGCAAAACCTTATTTCTTCTACTACACAGGGTGCATCACCGGACACTACGTCCGCGGCATCATAAGAAGCACATCTCAGGCCCTCGGCAACTGAGCGCAACACACCGTGCCTGCCCCGGGCGACAAAATCCCTCTTCGAGGTGTAGGATGAAGTCGAATACGAGTCAGATACTCCTTTCTAGCATGGAAATACGAGGAAGATGAAACACGCCGACGGCGCGACGTGAACCCAGCTCAAACCTTGCAGACACCATGTCCGTTCCCCGACCTCTCGGCTTCCGGGGAGAGTGGTATTACCACCAATCACACAGGAGCAGCGATTGGAGGCTGCTCACAGGGCGGCACTCCTGCGCTCGTATCCACGTTCTGTATCAGACCCTCGAGTGGAGTACAGCTTTCGCTCGGCGGTTCCCACTACTGAAGCGAAAGACGCTATCACTCGATCGTTCAGCGTGTACGCAGTCAGGCCCTCGGCCACTACACATGCTGAGCTTGATCAGCGGAAAGCACTGCGAGCTCGCTTTTTGGTACCACAAACAAATCCCAATGGATTGGTACCGCGCTCGACTTTGAGCTCAAAAAGAAGGCGTCCTGTACCCGCGATGCGGACCATCCATGTGGTGCTCGTCCCTGGCAAAACCGCGATGATGACGAGCTCTTTGAGCGATGAGTGCATCGGCACCGTAAGCATTATTCGCCGTCTACCTTACAGCGGGGCCACAAAGAAGTGGACTTGTGCGTTAAGCGCCACGTTCGATTTGAGTTTGCCAAACTGAAAGCGCAGCGCCGACTCCCTGCGTATTGTCTTTCTGTAACATATGAAACAATCCATAACGCTCCCACGAGCTTTGTGGTTGCTCACACATGTGATCTACCACCACAGCAGCTCAGGGCCATAGTTTGAGCTCAACTCAGGTCCCTTAGGCTTCCCACAAGGCAGTCCACGTGTAGTGGACGCCACCATTTTAATAGAGAAGAGTTGGCGGCGGGCGATGATGACTTGGTCGATCGCCGTCCGGTGACTCGCGAAGCTCTTTCAGCGTTGGAGGACACGGTCCATCGTTGTCGGTACTCTGTCGAGCATCTCTCTATGGTCGCCTTCCACTGTGCGAAAGTCCTCAAAAGCCTAGAGCACTTTGTGCGCCGACTGCCTTACCGTGAGGGAGTGTGCTCTACCGTTGTGGCCCCTAGCCGTCGAGCAGGCGAAAACTTCACTTCGTGTGACGGTGGTGCCGCCTTGCGTCGTTAAAAATTGTTGCACACCGTGCTAAGTAGATGTTGGTTCAACTTCTGGGTGGCCGAGCACGTTTTGGCGCCGCCCCGGCGCCAACGCTTCCGCGTTCACTCACGCCCGATCCCGGTACGGCTTAAGCAAGCCCACATCAAAAACCGGGCGGTTGTGCATACTTTTTGGAAGGTTTAGCGTATACGCTAGGACTCGCTTGGCCACGAGCTTAAAAGGTCCAATAATCCGTCGACGTAGCTTCGTTCGGAAGACAGCAAAAACTGCATGTGTAGGAAGGTTTCAAGCGTTAAATATAACCAGGTCTCCGATCTCAAAGCTCCTTCTTTTCTCAGTCTGCATATTCGTTCCGCATGTCTTGGCTTTCGACCATCGCATCGCGAATGTGTCGTAAGACACTCTGTCTGGTAAACAGGAAGTCACCCACTTCTTTACGGATAATGAGGGAGCTGGCATCAGCTTGTTATTCGGCTATTCCTCCCCACCAAGCCTTGAGCCATGGGA